TGTATCTATATATATCTATATATCTATATATATATATATAGTGCGAGTATTTGTAGGTGTACTTTCCTTATTCTCTCACCTGCTTTCCATACAAAAATGAATTTATTGTGGTTTTATATGTGTGCGAGTATGTCTAGGTGAACAAGTCGCATCTTCTCATGTGCGGTAAAAACGAGTTTCAAATGTATATGTTATTATTATATATATATATGTACGTATATATATGTGTGTGTATGTGTGTGTGTGTGTGTGTGTTGTTGTTGTATATTGCTTATACTAGTTCATACACAACTGACACTGCCGATTTGCCTTGCGACCCCCTATTCGCAGTTATGTGGAAATGAATCCTGGTTCACAGACAATGTCGGTTGGATATAATGCAATATTCTCGAGTGTACCTGTATAATGCTACTAAAAACTACACTGTATCTAAACCCTAAACCCTAAACCCTCGGGCGTGCCTGCACAATGCTACTATAAACTAGTTTGTGTATTAACATGTAATAGATAATTCAAACTTTCGTCAGTATACACATCCCACAACTTGCTCGTATTGTCTTTGCTCATACTACCACAGCCAACCTCACTATCCAAAGCACCCACCAATGAACACACACACACACGTACACGGACACACCCCCACAACACACTCAGGTTTACAACAACTACTTCGAAAGCATCCTCCAATGAACACACTCAGGTTTACAACAACTACTTCGAAAGCATCCTCCAATGAACACACTCAGGTTTACCACACATGCACACACGTACACGGACACCACCCACCCCCCCCCCAACACACTCAGGTTTACAACAACTACTTCGAGAAGTTCTCGGATCCGGAGGTGCTACGTTTGCCAATAGAAGGCGTTCTGCTGCAAATGAAGGCCATGGGCATAGACAATGTCATCAACTTCCCCTTCCCGACCCCACCCGACCACGAAGGTCTCATGGCTGCGGAGAGACTGCTCACGCGCCTCAACTGTCTGGACGATAAGGTGTGTTGTGTGCGTGTTTGGACGATAAGGTGCGTTGTGTGCGTGTTTGGATGATAAGATGTGTTGTGTGCGTGTTTGGATGATAAGGTGTGTTGTGTGCGTGTTTGGATGATAAGGTGAGTTGTGTGCGTGTTTGTTGACTGCTTTATGACTCAGTGGCTCTGATTGGACTGCTGCGAGGGCTACTTGCCTGTACTATACGCTACACAGCACGTACACTGGCATATGAGCACAAGCGGATTCGGACTTTATATACAACTTTTTTTTATTGGAATGTATACGTGTATCATTAATTGTGGGCTTTAGATGTCTTGTGCCGTCACGACCGTCGGTCTATTAGGATTGTACACGCTTGGCCACCTCGTCTATCCTGATGTATGCTACTGTGACTTCACACGTACATTGGTTGTATGGTTATCATTGGCTATATACCACTTCACACGTACATTGGTTGTATGGTTGTCATTGGCTATATACCACTTCACACGTACATTGGTTGTATGGTTGTCATTGGCTATATACCACTTCACACGTACATTGGTTGTATGGTTATCATTGGCTATATACCACTTCACACGTACATTGGTTGTATGGTTATCATTGGCTATATACCACTTCACACGTACATTGGCTGGATGGTTGTCATTGGCTATATACCACTTCACACGTACATTGGTTGTATGGGTTGTATGGTTGTCATTGGCTATATACCACTTCACACGTACATTGGTTGTATGGTTGTCATTGGCTATATACCACTTCACATGTACATTGGCTGTATGGTTGCCATTGGCTATATACTACTTCACATTGATACATCTCAAAGGATACTCCTCAATTGGGTGATAGGCGCGAGTTGCCTCTCTTAGAGGGGTGATGAATCGCTGTTTGTTAAGTCAGATGACGTCGTCGTCGTTTGTATTCATATTGGTGTCAACGTATGCCTGGACATCTCATCTGCCAATCTATTCCTTAACATCCCATCAATCTCTATCAGTTATTATCTCATCAGCCAATCTACGTGCTATCATCTCATCAATCAATCTATGCGCCGTATCTCATCAGCCAATCTACTTGCTACCATCTCATTAGTCCAATCTACGTGATCTACTCCTCGCAGGGCAAAATCACAGCGATCGGGCGAAAGGTATCGAACTTCCCACTTGCTCCACGGTTTTCCCGCATGTTGGTCACAGCCCTGGACTTGGGTGGACAATGCGTGCCGTATGTCATCGCCATCTGCGCGGCACTGACAGTAGGTAATGTGTTCTACGCAAGTATGATTGAGAACAGCGACGATGAGGAAGAGAACACGGACGAGCCACAAAGGTACAGGTTATGCTTGGGAACGTTTGAACTATTTATGTATATGTGTGTATGCATGTGTGTATGTATTTATGTATTATGTATTTATGTATGTATGTATGTGTGTATGTATAGATATATGTGTGTATATGTATATACACACCAAGCACTCATACACTCACCCACCCAACCACCCACAAATATAAATATATATATATATATATATATATATATGTATGTATGTATGTATATGTATGTATATGTGTGTGTGTGTGTATATGAATATAGGTAAATATGTACATGTCATACAATAGTATGTCTAAATTCATGTATGCTCATTTTTAAGTTTTCTATTCTCATACCATATGTCATTGCCATCTGTCTAGTGCATAGCGCTGTACGCTAGCCTGATTAGTACCTGTGATACAGCCGAGTATACATACGAAGTACCTCTGTATGCACCCGTTTTGTTGTCTGTCTACGATCTCAAACTGCAAACTTCTGTGCCTTTGAATGGGGTGGCAAACGTATCGTGATCCACTCTCGGACTCTCCTCGTATTCGTTTGAACGGTTGTCCTGTATTGAACAATTCTCCTGTGTTGACAGGCCCAGGCGTAGAGACAGTGATGACGAGGGACCTAGCAAGAAACAACAGGCACTGCTAGACGAGCAGAGTATACTGCGCAACGAGGCGGAGAAAAGCAAGGTATGTGGCACGTCCCCCGATATGTTCATGGTGATGTATACTCGAAGAGCGTGAAACTGTACATTATATATATATATATATAGTCGGTATATGTTTGTATTTCTTACCTACTGTTTATTGTGTAGCTACCTTCTTTATATGATGCACATACATGTCTGCAATGTGTGTGTATGTCTGCTTTTGCCATCTGTGTATGTCTGCTTTTGCCATCTCTTCGCTTATGTGAGTATTTGTCCGCAGCTTTTATTCCTGTCCACGGGGTTAGTACAATAATCGTTTTGTAGAATACCATTTCGCTATGTATTTTGCGGCATATGTTATCCTTAGTTTCTACACGGAACAATACGACCATGAAAGAAAGGACGATTGATATGGCTGTCAGTTCACTAACGCGTCCATAAGCATGCATACACGCACACAAACACGTAAATACATGCTGACTTGCTTGCTTACTTACTTACATACATACATACTTACTTATTACATACACATACACATGCATACACAAATATACTTACATAGACACGCTATCTAGAAAACATACACATATACTTGCATACACAAATTACTTACATATACACACACTAACTAGAAAACATACACATACACATGCACACACAAATATACTTACATAGACACACGCTAGCTAGAAAACATACACATACCCATGCACACACAAATATACTTACATAGACACACACCAAATAGAAAACATACACATGCCCATGCACACACAAATATACTTACATAGACACACACCAAATAGAAAACATACACATACCCATGCACACACAAATATACTTACATATACACACACTAATTAGAAAACATACACATACACATCCATACACAATTGTACATGCATAGACACACGCTAACTAGAAAACATACACATATACATGTACACATAAATATACTTACATAGACACACACCAACTAGAAAACATACACATACACATGCACACACAAATATACTTACATATACATACACCAACTAGAAAACATACACATACACAATGCACACACATGTACACACACATGTACACACACTAACTAGAATACATTCACATACACATACACACATATATGTACTAGAATACATTCACATACACATACACACATATATGTACACACTAACTAGATAACATACACATGCACATGCACAATATACACACACTAACTAGAAAACATACACATACACATACACACACATATACACACACTAACTAGAAAACATACACATGCACACACATATACACACACTAACTAGAAAACATACACATGCACACACACATACACACACTAACTAGAAAACATACACATACACATGCACACACATATATACACACTGACTAGAAAACATACACATACATGCACTCACCGATACTGATCTTAGTCCCACCGCTTAATCTCACACAGAGCGCCAATAGAGCCAAAACGCGCAAAATCAAACAGCGGTGGATTGGATCGAACCCAAAAAGTGATCTGCTGACTATCCTGAAAGCCGTGGGTGCCTACGAACACACTTATGAAACTGCCTACGCGTCAGTGCACAATGTATGTCCTGAGACCCTCTGGATGTACTAGTATATTGAAGTTCTAATGGTTTCCTTACTGTCCTATTATCCTTCCAGGAACGCTCTCACCATGTAATATTTTCTGCCATTAAAATGCCTTTTACACCAGCCGTATGGCGTCGTGTAGTGGAGGTGTACGTCCCGGTTTGTGGTGTTAGAGTGTGGTGTGGGTATGCTGTGGTTTGGTGTAGGAGTCTGTGATGTTATGCTACTGTTTATTGTTCATATATATATGTGTGTGTGTGTATGTGTGGTCAACTCTGTTATAGCTAGACATCATGTACTGTATTTGTACGTCTAAGCTTATGACATGGGTAAGAGACACGGGGCGGGGGAAGACAGAAAACGAGGGATAGAATTCACCATACAATGCAAATACATACACTTATCCATATACATACACTTATCCATATACATACACTTATCCATATACATACACTTATCCATATACATACACATGCATATACATACACTTGTGCATATACATACACTTATCCATATACATACACATGCATATACATACACTTATCCATATACACGTACCTTCTTTTCTTGACACACGCCGGTACGTAAACTAGGACCAAACTCAAACCGAGGGCAAGAGGCGGAAGAAACAGAAACAAAGCGACAGAGTTCTGGGTGATAAGGTTATCGCAGGGTCCACGCTTGCCTTCTGCGAGTCTAATCTGCTGAACTACAAGAGTATGGAAGAGATCCGCAAACTACGGCAGCAACTAAGCAAGCTCGTCAGAGAGCACGTGCAGCAAAACGCCGGCGGTCACTCGAAGGTGAAGGTGTGTACACATACAGGGCACGAGTGTTTGGTGTGTGCGTGTGCTCGTGGGTGTATATGGCGTAAAGGCCACTCTGTCGGATGACTGAGTGAGTGTATATCCCTTGAGAGTGGTTCGAGTCCACTCCAACCGAGACACCTCTAGTATAGTTACATGGCTATCTTAGCCTAGCAAGAGTATATCAACATTTACAGCGCAGTTCATATCCTTAGTACTGGACTGGCATTCTCTCCCGTCCCATATCAATGCATCTCAACACATCTTAACTCACTACGTATATGCACAGAAGAGATCCAAGGTGGACTACGGTGCCCCCCTGCGGCCTCCAACGGGAGAGCTACAGAAGCAGCTGTGGCAGGCTATACTGTCGGCATATGGCGACCACGTGGCAAAGCGCGTAGTCCCCTCATCACGTACAACAAGCGGTACTGATGAAGGTATGTATATGTATATATTTGTAGGTATGTATGTGTACGTATATGAAGGTATGTTTGTGTGTGTATATGTAGGTATGTATGTGTGTGTATATGTAGGTATGGGTTATGTGTGTGTTTATGTGCGTGTATGTCAATGATAGGAGCTACAGAAGGAGCTACAGAAGGAGCTGCGGCAGGCAGTGCTTCTAGCTTCTGGCGCCCATGTGGCGAAACTTGTTGTCTCTTCATCGCATACCTCGAGCTGCACTGATGAAGGTATATATATATATATGTGTATGTATGTATGTATGTATGTATGTACGTATGTATGTATTCAAGTATATAAATATATATATATATCTATAAATGTATATGTATATGTATGTATGTATGTATGTATGTATATACATAC